CCTGTCCCAGATATATGGAAAATTCTACTACCCTTGTCATCACAGAGAACAAGAGAAAATTAGGAATATATAAAGTCTATCTTGAAGTTGTGGAGTTACCTGATATGAATATGGACAATAAATTGTGTCTAAAACGATGTTATCCAGTAAATGATACTGTTCCTTCACGGTGTAAACAGACTAGAATGGAATTACAATCGACCACAGTGACCAAGTTTTACGCTTACATTATTGCAGAATCTTTTTTAGTTGATTTCTCTGGGTGGAATATACAAAACTGCTAAAAGACTGAGGGGTTACAGTTAGGGATACCCATTATTGTTCAGATATCGGATTAAACCAATAGGATCATAGGGGAAAAAAGAAATAAGCGAGTGCAGTCAAGAAAAATTTTTCTTCTCGGTGAAATCACTCAGTTATACTTTCCTGAATATATGGTGAAAAGAACAGAAAACTGTAAAATAATTTCCGGTTAAGGGGTCAAGATGCAGTGGATTATAAAATTATTATGTAACGTAGATAGAGATTTAGAATCAGAAAATGAACGAAGGATAGAAAAATTTATTTTTGTTATGCTTTAAAATTGCCAAGTTAAGGCAAAAGGTCTACAATACCTATTTTGAATCAAAAATGTTTCAGCTACATCCAATTCTCACTGCTTTTGGAGGGTCAGATTGAACACTATACAATTGTCACATGAGTTTACTAACTTCACCGTTGAAGAGTTGAAGATCCATTTCCTTTCTCTGTTTTTGTTTTAACTTTTCACGTACAAGTACATGACAAAAATGATGTACTTGGCTTCATAGAAGCAACTAAACTGAGTTACATGCACACACACACACATACACTGATATAGTTCAGCGCTTCAACCTCTCCTTTATATGCTGAGGAATGAACTTCCATCAAGTGGATTTGGTTATGAGGATGTCACCAACATTACCAACCTTGAATATGAGGTTTAATAGCAAAGCTATTTTCACTTCGAAGCAAGATATATGCTTTAAATAATGTTTTCTGACTTTAGTTTCATATATACAAATTTCTGTTGGAATCCATTTCGCATAAGACGTTCCCCTACTTTCTTCAGTTCATTGTCGATAGGCTTCTGTGTGCATATGTTTCCAATTCTCGAGGCTAATAAACTGATAAAATTGCTTTTACTGCTTCAGGGAACAATCTTGAAAACTGTTACACTTTCAACTTCATGTAGGGTTTTTGTAAATAGATCTCTGAACTGAATAATCATTTGTTCTTTAATACTAGGCACTGGAGCGAGGGAAATTCAAATTGGTACTGCGTTTAAAGTGAAGTTAATAAAGGGATGAACACTATTAAAGGTTTGAAGTAGATTTTGAGGTTCATTTTCTCACCACAAATAATTAAGGTATCTTCTGGAAGTCTTTCATAGATAAGAAGTCAGTTAATTGTTGTCGACATGGTGATTTATTCTAGGTTAGCCGTTAAACAGTCACTTACGAACCAATGATACCAGTCCGCCAAACCATAGCTCTCACTGATAGTCTCAGTAATAAATAGGAGGCTTTTTCTCCCTTACATGGCTTGATTTCCATTAGGAAGAGAAAGTCTAAGTAGGTAACTGGTGTGATTACAATGAACAGGCAGTGACATACGTCACCATGATATTGAACCAATAGTGATTCAGGTGGAGTGGAAACCTGGTCAACAGTCGAGTTTCATTGCTACGTTGGTAGAAAACCTGGTTGGACAATGGTGATTAAGGAACACATTCCATATCGTCAAATTGAGAAAGTACACGACCAAATCATTCATAAATTCGCTGACGTTGTTCGCGACTGCATAGCGTAATGCAGTCGAACGACTGATTTCCAAAATTTCAGTTAAATTCTTACTGAGTGACCCAAAACGTCTAGTACTTAACTGCATCAAAATTTTGAGCGCTTTATCAGTCGTATTTACAACTTGATTGTTAGCTTATGTCATCACTAAGCGCTTGAATGATCTCTCGAAGCACTCCGGAAAATGATGCATATGAATTTTTGCTAAAGTATCATTTACTTACTAACAAATATTTTAAGTAGTATAAAATTTCAACAAAAATAAGTTTGGGAACCGCGGTAGTAACCACAAATTAAACCTGGATGTTTAATGCTTTGAAAATATTTACAAAAATATTGGTGATAATGTGAAGCAGCATATATGACATCTTACCCACATACTACTCTAATTTATTTTCCATTCGTTATCTGATTCTGTTCAGATCAATACTGGAATCTAGCAATACACAAACTACTGATTGATACAAATTCTAAAAAAATATTCGTTTCATTCACGTATTTATGTCAAATGTATCAAAATAATTTAAGCATTAAGACATGCCCTTATATAGTGTTAGGAAAGTTAATTTAATTTCACGTAATGCAGTAAAAGCATTTTTCCACCCTTTCATTATTCTCTATCCTAAAGATATATTCACATTTTCTCTAGTTTTCAGGTAAAGAGAAGTATTCGTAAGTTGCATAGGCTTACATCGCTGTGATACTATTCACGTAGTAAAATTTCTGTGTTCTATTTGAATCATTCTTAAGAACTAGAGAACGGTGACACGAGAATATGCATCATTTCGATGATTAACTTTTGCATCAAGTGTACGCTAACCTCAACTCTCTCTGAAAATGAAATCGCCAAAAATAGACTCTTCACTGAAATGCGTGTTCTTCTTTCAGACACGCTACTTAACTATGAAAGCGCATTATCTCTTAATCTAAAACTAGAGATCAAAAAAAACTGCGAGTAGAATGGCTACGCATACGCCTTCTTGGAGTGACTCTAGATGGCACCCCCAGCCCCCCCTCCTACCAACGACTAAAATAACCAATTTCGTTTGAGAAAGTAGTTTTTAGTGAATTAATGAAATACAGTTGGTTATTTCATAATTGATAGTGGAGCCTTTAGAGTATCTCCCTTACTCTTATCGTTCAAAAATAAGGATTATCAGACAGTTTTGATCTGAAATAACTAGAAATATCCATTTGAGAAACTAAAGTTTGGAATTAGGTGTATTTATGCATAGGCTGATAATTAGAGTTAAACTCTCACTTAATGGTTAGAGGAACTAAGATATGATTTCGGAAATGATTACTGTCAGCCGAAGTTTTCAGACTGCTTAAACGCAAGGCACATACACTGTAGTTGTTTGCCAAACCTACATACTCAGTTGAATCATCCAAAACCTCTTTGAAGTATCAATAAATCCAATTTTCTAATTAGCATCACCCTTTTAATGTTGGCTATGTTCAAATGCTGGCAACCAGCTGCATGATAAATTAGCTCACCGTCAAATATGAAGCACAATAATAATTCATTTCATTTCAGAAGTTATTCTGTTTCTTTACTATTGGAAAAGATTAAGCGAGACTTGATGATGATTTTATGTAACATATCTGGTAGGCTTTATTTCATTACATTACATTCATGATGTTTGATAGGAAGCAGCGTAAATCGAAATCAGTAATCAAGGTCACTAGCCACCAAGGTAGACATTTTGGATCTCAACCTTGGTTTTATGTTACTGTGTGGGTGGGAAGACCTTATTGGACAATTTTGTCCTTCAGCTGACCAATGAAAATAAGTATCCAACTTATAACTTAGTAGCCTCATTTTCTGAGGAAAAAGTGGACATGAATGATGTTCTTTTGTGAAACTTGTTTTCCTTAAAGCCACGGGTTAGTCTTTGTCTACTGATTTTTTGTATTGAGAATAACGAAGCACTTTACAATGAGGAAACTTTGGCAGGTCCACGAGAGTAAGCTCACCAGTTACATGTTTAATCGGTATTACTTACCAACAGCACTATCCCGCGTGGTTACAAACAAGTATGTATATGTACGCGATATACATGTATGCACATGTTTATGTATATGGACTCTTGTGTTGTTCTGTGTGTACGCATACGGCATACTTAATGCCCAACAGTATGCGTGAGCGCATACGAGTAGACAATGTTTGATGAAAAGTATGATATGTATATATATACCTATATGTACAAATACACGCATGTATATGCAATAGTGTATACGTGACCCTAGTGAGTGCATGCGTCTATGCTAACGTATTATTATTATTATTTGTCCCTTGGGTTCCTAAGGGAACATACGGCTTCACTAGCACGTCTCCATTACACACCCTTCTCTGAAATCCTTTCAACCTGGCTCCACGACAGCCCACAAACTCTCATTTCCTCCTCGCGCAATCTCCTCCATGTCACCCTCACCTAGGACGCCCAACTTGCCACTTCCCATCGAGGTTCCACTCGATGGCCTGGCCTAGCGCCTGATGTCTCCAGTCCACCTTCTCAGTGAATGCCTAATCCATCTCCACTTCCTTCCACTGCATATTTCTTCAGCGATGGGTTCTAGGTTGGTTCGTTGACAGCCACAATGAGTTCCTTGTTGCTTATTCTTATTATTCTGGCCATCTGATCTTTAGTAAGGAGCCAGCGTAGGCAGTTGTTGATGAATGTCTGTAGTTTGATAGAAATGCTTTTCGTGACACGCCAAGTTTCTGACTTATATAGAAGCACTGACTTGACATTAGTGTTGAAAATCCGGATCTTGTTCCACATGCTGAGTGCAGAAGATCTCCACACTGGTTTTAGTCTAATGAATGCCTGTCTTGCTTTTTTGATTCTGACTTTGACATCCTCGTCTGTGCCGCCATGTTAACGTATGCGTGACATATATATGCATATGCAAGTATATATATATCCTATCGGTATGCATGCAGCATATAAGTGGATGAGTTTTTTGGTCACTTGGTGAAAAATTCGGATGTAGTCCGCGCAGTTGCCTGACTCAGGCAACTAGCGGGGGCTACGACTCACGAAGGCTGTTGTTGGACGGTACTGGGCTATAGAGATGCTTCTATGGTTTCGAGAACTACTAAAAATATCATTGCACTTGGAAAGTTTCAAGTTCTCAGTGGCCTAACGGACAAGGCTTTGCAATGTGTATATATGAGTGCGGAGTTCTAGCGTTGGTGAGAACACTATCACTCATTAGGGGTGAAGGCACATCCGGCTGACAAACCCTAACTAGGATAAAACGCACAACATGAATCCCACTGCTAGCTACCACCAATGACATTAGAACATAATAAATAACCATGCAATATCGATACATCTACATAGGAACCCTTATGCTAACAAAGGTTGACCATTTCGATCTAGTATAACAATGGAAAATTAAAAGTACTACTGTTCATCAGAAACAAAGTCTACAAAAATACCACAACCAATAATATCCTATTGTAAAAGTATTCTGTCAATGAAGAAAGCAGTATACAAACCGAATTGTTCAACAACAACAAAAAAAAAGGCAAACTATATAGTCGAATGAGAAGATGATCAGGATAACAGACTAAGGGTTATCATCAAATGGAAAGATTATGAAGTCACAAAACAGGGACAATGATAGGGAAGAAAAAACACAACAGAAACTTGTTTTTATGATTGATAATGGTAAACAAAAGGATAATGTTCAAACAAAAGCTGTATATTGCACAAAATTTCCTTTTTCACACACACACACACTGAGATGCCACGTCATTATTAGCATTATTATTTATTTAAGTAAATTATATGAAGAGTGTAATCGCTCTCTCTCTCTTTGTAAAATAAGTGTAATAATAAAACAAAACAAGCAAAAATAAAATGTAAGTGAGGTAAGTATCGACTTAGTTTATTTTTGGAAAAAATCAATGATAAAAGTATGAAAACAAAAAGAATATCTATCATATGAAATCAACTGACTTATTTATATGTATGTATGACTAATAACATTGAACACATTGACCAATGAAATTGACTTATTCAAATAGATGACTAATTATGAAGATGAAGAAAATTATAAAGTAAAACAAAAAATTTACAACTGAACAATTCGTTTGTTTAGTCATTCATTCACTCATTGTATCACACTGTAAATATCTTTCACAGCCTAAAAACAGCTTTCATGACAAGAATATGAAATGAAGCATACATATGGAGTGAGTGTGTATATATATGTATAGTGTATGCATATTACAATGAGACAACAAAGTTGGATGTTGTTGTGATATAATCTTCACTAATATTTGTATTTCGTTTGTGTACATATTCAAGTGTTAGCCTACAGGTGATCCCATTAGATTAGCTGATGTTGGACGTGTTGTATTACCAGAATTATTAGTAGTTGAATTATTATTATTAGTAGTAGTAGTAGTAACAATTGAACGACGCGATTTTGATGTCTCTTTTAGCGTTTTATAACTATTCCATCTTTCATTAATATGTTCAATAAATGTTTTACCATTTGATAAAATAAAATTAGATGAAGTTTTAATCTCATATTGTTCAATTGCTGATAATGCTTCCTTTTCAGTACGTTCAACTTCTTTGAATAAACGTTTTTTTTCTTTTTCAGTTTTTAATAAAATACCACCACGATTTGAAAAGATTGATGGATCTTTAAGTCGAGCTTCTACATCAATTAATTGTTTCCAACAATTTTCATAAATAGCAATACATTCATATACTGGACGATATAATGAATAAGTTTGATTCAATTGTTCCAATACTGTTTCTAAATGATTAATTAATACTTCTGGATCATGTTTATCACAATTATTTGGTAATTGTATAATTTTTTCATCTATACAACAAAGACTAGCTAATCGAATTGCTTCACTTTCTAAACGATTTAAATATGTCTGCATATTTTCCCATTTCATTTGTTGACAACGATCAACTTCCTCCTTATCAAAATAAAAATCATAAAATGTAAATATTCAACTGAATACAATTTGAAGAACAAAACAACATACATACACATCCGAATGAAAGGTAGCCAACAAGGATTCAGATTACCTTATAATAATACAGTTGACTGATTGCACCTTTAACTACTTTTAGAAAAAGAATCATGATTTTTATATCCTCCAGTGAATATATTACAACTGGAATTCGATTGAGTTAATTCTAGAACGGATTTATAAGATTGAAATAATACAAAGATCTAGACGACAGGGATGCAAGAATTCATCTATTCCTCATCTTGAAGCTTTCTTCAAATACTATCAGCTGATGATGAGAAATATTTGTGTAAAACCTAATACTTCAATAAATGCAGACAACTAATGATTATGTATTTCGTAGTGGAAATTGATGCACATATATGACTGAATACACTTTGAATAGGATTAACAGATAATTACCGAAAGATTTGGAAAAACATCTAAACGATGATATAACATTCATAACAACTACAAAATGTCATTCTTTTAAAACGTCCTAAACACATCGAGCAAAATAACTGTTTTATATCACTTGGAGGAACATTGAAAACCTGGGAGCACTGGAAAGCGGTTTCGTCCTCGTATGTGACTCCTCAGCAATAGGGATCGAACCAAGGACTTTTGAGTTCTACAGTGAGCCCCTTGCCATTTAGTCTCTAGGTCAGAATCCTACTTCTGTCAATTGGCGATATGGTTTAACCTTTGGGTATTCCTTCTCATATCCGAATTGATTTTCCCCCAACACCTATGACTTCTCATTAGAACTCCAGAAAATCTCATCACAAAGCAACTCACTAGTGAGCGCGCTATAGTAGTTTAATTTGGAAATTTATGAAGATTTATTGAATTTAAGTTGGTATTGTAATGATAAGTCATGACTGCTGGGATAAACCAAGTCGGACGTGAGGATATTTACTCAACGATGGCATTGGATGAAGGTTCAATGGTTCTCGAACTGATGTCCCTCCGCAATGAATAAACACTTGAAATAAAGTTTATTTAGATATTACACCAAGAATGGTTTATAAGTTCAATCGATATTATATAAAACACTTATCGTGGCAATGAAACTGGACAACTAGAAGTTATAAAGAATCTAATAGAAAAAACAACAAAACGTACGTAACAAAAAAACGTATACTCTTTGTCATTTTCGCCTATCTGAGATAGTCATGGTTTGGCAGACTATTATTTATACTAGTTGATGATTGAAGGTAGAATGAGAATTTAAACCAGGGCCAGATTCGGATCAGTGAGCTGGGGACCTAGTGGTCGCTGGTTCGAATCCGGTCGCCATTCAAACTTTCATTTCACCTCCAATCATCACCCAGTATAAACACATACTTTTTTGTACAGTATGCAATGAACCGCAATTGCTGTGTGAGGGCTAAACATATTACCTGGCTGTGTAGACTTAGTAAGGTAAAGAGGAGTTCGAACCTATGAGACCCGGTAGTTGGAAGCTGAATGTCTAGACCAATAATTTATATCTTTATTATCTAATCCTTTGTTTTCATCACCAAGAAAAATACATTGACAAACAGAGAAGTTGTGAACACCGTTGTCTGACAGATAGAATTATTCTCCTCTTGAGAGATAAATATCCACCACTTCAGTTTTAATCGAATCAGTCAAGTGTAAGATGCATTCGCTGTACGTCATAATAGACGATATATATATATATATATATATATATATATATATATATATATATATATATAAAACACGAAGTGCTATTCTGAGTATGAGCTATAAAAAAAACCTTTTTGCATTATGAAAAACTGATTCACTACATTACAAAATAAAATGTTTTCGTCAACAATCCGGTATACAACCTAATCACATCCATTCATACAGATAATATAAATCGTACACAGGAATTTTTGATATTCTTTTTAAGACGGTTTTACAAGTGGTAAAATGGGAAGAAATCAGTGGGGAACTCAAGACATAAGAGTATGGTTGAACGAATGCTTTAAAATTGCACTTCATAGTAGTAAATAATATCTATAGGGATGTTCATTCATAACGTACACAGTCTCTTTGAAGAAATACAACTCTGATGATATTCTTCTACAAAAGCTGATATCTTATAGGTCTAATAATCGTCTGTGATGTGACTGACTTGGAAATGACGTGAGTTCTAACAATAAACACGAGATACTTGGACTGTTTACGAGTAATATGACTGTTCTCCCCCACACCCCTGTACTTCACTGAGCCGTGGAAATCAGAAGACAAAAGACGACCTGTAACTGCAAAAACAACTTTTCTGGACAAATACATGGTAAATATATATTTACAAAGTCCTCAGAAAATGAAGCCATAAATAAACCAATCCGATTGGTTGTATGACTTTGAATTTGTCCAATCAGGTTATCATGTCAGTATATGCATAAATCACGAACTGATCATGATTTAAAAACAATTTCCCTATTGGCTGCCTTTTTCTCGCTACCTATTAATCTGTATATGCAACGTAACAAGACGACTTTTTACATTGAAACATCTATGCATATATACAAACAAATACAAATTTTATTCACAATTTACATGTAAACAGTACACATAGAGAAACAAAAACACAATTACCTGTAATGCTTCTAATGTTTCAGGTTTATAGCCAGAATTTGCATCAAGGAATTCTTTCTGCTCCAATTCAGGTTTATCTAACCTCTTCCACATTTGTAACAGATAAGCTCTTAACTCTTCACAGGTGCCAACTAAACGAGCCTTTTCTTTAACAAGTCTTAATCGCCAATCAGTTAACCACTGAAAATGAAGGAGGCAAAATAGCAAAGAAAAATGATGTAAACAATGATTGAGTATAACTGAAAGAAAATTTGAAAAGATTAGGCTCCACTGTCCACGACTGCACTACCTGAACGTACAATGTGCTCAGGGTGGTCAGACTAAAATGAAGTCTCTGGTTAATGGTCTGCGCTATGTGTGAAGGCGTAGACTACCTCGTGGGGATTTCCAAGACCATAGAAATCAGTTGTTGAAAATCGGTCCACTCCACTTTCATATCAATCGTTTTCTATCCAATTATTCTCTGCATACTTCTATAAAGTGTGATAATTTGAACCTAGGCACTTATGTGTACGAGGTTTTACGTTCATTTTTCACCGTCTGTCTAAAGACCACCCTGATAACCACTGAAATAACCAACTGAGCTTCTTTATTTCAGTTACAGTCAGTTTAAAGTCACTCCACAGTTAAAATGATCATTATTATGGTGATCATAGACTTCAATTATTATCTCTACATAGGTGAGTATTTCAAGAATTCCGTTCTTCAGTTGGAAACCTACCTCAAGTCCACAATACTACTAAGTCATGGTTGAAAAGTTAACCACAACAACAAAATTATACTCTGATAAACGAAGAAAAGAAAAGTAAAACAGAAAGGCAAATTCGATATAGAAGCAATAAATTCAGGTTTTCGGTGGATCATACATAAAAATCAAAAGAAAACTGATCGGATACCCCATTGATGACATTTTTGTCTCATAATGAAACCTTTCACTCTCAAATGCTTAAACTGTGAATTTTCATAACCAAGAACTGAAGGATCTCTACTTTACTGGGTAGTTTAATTTTTATAGCTTATCAATTATGTTCCAACCAGCTTATTTTATCAAACTTCAATATTACCATTTCGAGAGTCTAAAGAGAATCATTATACACCACCTAAACAGAAATGGTATTTTCATGGTCTAGTGTTGTTATTTATCGAAAATATCATGTAATGTCTTCCTATTCTTCAAACTGAACTTCTCAAACCGGGATACCTGTTAACTTAATCTAATAACCAGATATGAGAATGCTTCAGAAGTCAACTAAGGTGAGGAAAGAAACCGACTTTGTCATTATTAATAATACAAGAGAGAATTCTAACTTAAAATATGCTGTGCTGTGGTGCCTCGGACATTGCAGCTGAATTAGAAATCACACAAAATCCCTATAATGATAATATTTGATAAGTATTAAATTAAATAGGGGGAATAGGTATTGGAAAGCCTCTTATAATCCGTTAGGTGTTACTTAGAGTTTCTATAGTATTCTTCAATGCTATTTATTATTGAATACTTCTTGAGTTATCTAATAACTAATACAACAGGATGAAAACTAGGCATATTTCAACTTTTCTAGTTGTCAGATGATATCACTAATTGGTGAAAGGAAGTGGATATACACAGTTAGATCACTTTCATCACGCCAACTAATTTCAACAAGTGTAGAACATCCCCTCAATGTTTCTACACGTTAGGCTGAACTCAAATTCTAGTTGCATGTAACTAGAGTATAGACAAATATGTGTGCATGAGGTTATTATTACTGATGTTTGAAAAGGCAATGAACTCATTCCCTGAAAAATTCATTTTTATGCTCAAATTTCAAAGCACCATTCAAGATTAATATAGAAGAGTACACTCTAATTAACAAAATCATTTTACCGAGTTGTTTATATGTCGCAAAACAAAAAAAACCACGTACACATGTTAGTGAAAATAAGAAAAGTTCAACGAAAATTTTATCATTCAATTGTCTCACATTAGAATCTCGCCAAGTTGGAGGAAAATTTCAGTATATTATATTTGCTTACTAATAAGTAGTGTAAAAAAAAGCCACAAACGTTTTGTTCCAACAAAGGATAAACCGCCTTCAATCTAGGCAAAGAAATAAGATTTCGTACATAAAAGTATGTGCATTAATATTTTACTCCATCTTAGGATTTAAAAACTATTTTTCAGCTGATCAATCGATATATTAGGTAATCTCTTTTGAATTTAGCCTATGGATAAACATATATTCGATTCAGATATCAACAATTTTGAAGACATCATAATAAAGACTACTCTGCATAGTCTAATACGATATATTAACTCAGATAAAAATGAAATCTATAATATTGTAACATTTCAAAAGAGTATAAAAATAAATCAATCCAGATAAAGTAGCAAGATGCTATATTAAACAAGAAAGATATGAAATAAGCAACAACAAAACATTTAAAAGTAATCAGATAGCTAAGACATTGCGTAAAATGATAAATGAACTTCACTGAAACATATAATCGAAAAGCTTTGAACTCCACAAGTAGTCTACCATAAGAGAGCATTACGAACAGTAGATTTCTCCTATCATAGATAGTGGGATATTTAAATGAACAATATACATAGCGTAGTTGAAACTAATAAAAGATGATGAAAGAAATTTAATCACCAACGAAGAGAAACTAAGGAAACGATAGACTGACCATAACAAAAAGCTCTTGAATCGATCACCACATGCAGCCATAGAACTACAAGTGAACACAAGCACTCCGACCAAAGTCGAAGTTCTGAGCGACATAAAGCTACTGAAATGTGGGAAAGCAGCAGGACCAGATGGGATCCCGCCACAAGCATTGAAAACAGACGCAGAGACAACAGCGGACATGCTCACACCACACCATTATTGCAGAAGGTATGGAAGAAAGGGAATGTACCTGCCAATGGATTGGAAGAGGGGTAACCTTGTCAAACTGCAGCAGAAGAGAGAGGCTAAGTCTTTGCAAGAACTGGAGCGGAAACACTCTCCTGTCCACCAAAAGCAAGCAAAATATTATGCAGCATCATCCTGGAGAGACTAAAGGATGCGCTGCATTCAAAACTATGACCGGAACACGCTAGATCGCTGGACTCAGGAAGTACAAATCATGTGCAGACAGAATTGTAACACTACACATCATCGTCGTCATCATAGAACAGAGCATAGAACGGCAGTCAATGCTCTACCTCAACTTTATCGACTTTGAAAAGACCTTCGACAGAGTCGACCGACAAGTAATTTGGCAGTTTCTTCAACACTACGGAATACCACAAACCTTTATCAACCTCATTCAACAACTATATGAAGACGCCACATGCCAAGTAATTCACAATGGGAGGCTCAGTGATGCTTTAGCAGTCAAGACAGGAGTGAAACAAGGCTGTCTACTATCACCAATGATATTCCTGTTTGTAGTGGACTGGATCATGCAACAAACAGTAAGGAGCGAGAAGAGGGGGATACGCTGGACCGGCAAAAAAATCCTAGAAGATTTAGATTTCGCCGATGACTTATGTCTAATGTCACACAAACTTGAAGATCTACAGGCGAAAACTAACAAGTTGACAGAAGAGGTAGGGTAGGGTAGGGTAGGGCAGCGAAGACGGGACTTCAAGTGAACGTAGAGAAGACGGAGGTGATGACGATACCCAACCAACACTAACACCACCACTTGTGAGCTGTCGTGGAGCCAGGTTCAAAAGTTTGCAGAGAAGAGAGTGGAATGCAGACGTGCTACTGAAGCCGTATGTTACCTTAGGAACCCAAGGGACAAATAATAAAATATAATAATAGTTCATTATATACTGAACGAGTTTATTGTATCTATGCTAGTCGATTTCAGCTATTACTTCATTCATGAATCTTCACAGAATCTTTACCTAGTTGGAAGTAAATAGAGTTATTTTGACCGGCATATTTAAAACAAAGCACAAACAGAAATGATGGTAGTTCCAAAGCTGTTGACCATAGAAAACTATGAAGATATTTCACAGAGACTATTCAGGTCTATAGAAATGAAGAAAATCTCTTCGCTTGGTAGCCATACTCCACACGATCTCAATACATTCTGATTACTGCTTAAAAATGGATAGCTATATTCTTTTCCCATTGCCAAACAATGTATGACAATTGATTTGAATTGAATAGCTGAATAGTAGTCTCGAATTTAAACACTGAGTGATGTAAGCTTAGATCTTGAGAAGAAAATCATTTTCATCCAGGACACAAATCCACCTGGTTGATGAATATCACCAAGTACGAGAAATTTATATCCAGAGCTTTCTGTTAATTCATACTTAACATTTTGCATATTTCTGTCCAACAAAAAAAGCAAACCAAGCTATCAGAGACATTCTCGGAAGGTGATGACAATAAAAACGTATGTATTATTATTTGTCCCTTGGGTTCCTAAGGGAACACAGGGCTCCAGTAGCACGTCTCCATCACACTCTCTTCTCTGCAATCCTTCGAACCTGGCTCCACGACAGTTCACAAGCTCTCATTTCCTCCTCGCACGATCTCCATGTGACCCTCGAACCCCCAACCTGTAGTTTCCCATTTGAGTTCCATTTTAGGGCCTGGCCTGGAACGTGACGCCCCTAAATCGTCTTCTCGATGTATGTCCAATCCAATCCATCTCAACTTCCTTCTGCATATTTGTTCAGCGATGGATTCTTGGTTGGTTCGTTGCCAGCCACAATGAGTTCCTTGTTGCTTATTCTTATTATTATGACCATATCATCTTCAGTATCGAGTGACTGTAGGAGGCAGCTGTTGATGAATATCTGTAGTTTGTTGGAAATGCTTCTGACGACACGCCAAGTTTCTGAACCACCACCACATAGAAACACTGACTTGACTGGCATTGTTGTTGAAAATCCGGATGTTGTTCACGCTTTGTGCTGAGTGCAGTAGATTTCCATACTGATTTCAGAATGATGAAATCCTGTCTCACTGTGTTTCCTATCCCGGTTTTGACATCCTTGTCTGTGCCTGTGGCGTCTGTAGTTGAAACGATGCTGCCTTACTTGGGTAGGTGAAAGAGGCTACTTCCTTTAGGTTTCTCCCGTTGATGGTGATTGGAGCTTATTGTTGTTGGTGGTGGTGTTGGTGTTGGTTGGGTATCGTCATCACCTCCGTCTTCTCTACGTTCACTTGAAGTCCCGTCTTCGCTGC